CCATTTGCATTCTGGGTAAAAATCATCTAAAAGTGTGAATGTGTCGTCGTCGACTTTTAATTCCAAAGTGAAATTAAATATTGTAACTCATTAATATATATTCCTCATAGAGTTACTGAAGATCATGAAGCTGTTGGTAGAAAAGATTTACTGCAGCAGATCCACATGTAACAGACTGACAGGATAAAATTAGCAGCTCTTAATTTCGTTTTGGTTTTTCTATAGTTGAGTCGACTGATTCTCTTGAGTCATTTTGAGTTCTATTTTATGAGCTCATTTATTTTCTAAAGCTGTAAAAACACCAATAGACATATCAGGGTTTCCCTCAGTGCTTTACATGCCTCTCCCATCCCCCACCAGACTAAGTACTGTGTGTTTTTGATTTTATTAGAAAAAATATATTTTTTTAATAAGCCGGACTTCAAGCATCTCTTCTCCGGTGAGCATTTTACTGGCAGGGCAGAATTATTCCTGAAAGAAAGATGGGATTATAGTTTTCATAATTGTTATAGTTGATGCATTGAACAGGGAGCTGCCACCCATCACACCGCTGGCGTCTCTGCAGGGCTTGATCTCTGAAGTTCACCTTGACGCGGATCGATGATAGAGGCTCACCTATATGGACATTTACATCAACCCCCTGTGAGGATGAGGATCCATGTTTCTTTGTGGAAGTCATCAAGGTGGGAGTCAAGTTTAAATCCACCGTGTTTGTTCTGCTCAATGTGAACCGCAAATGTTCACATCGATGCGCTCAGTCCTCACTGGCGCAGTTAGAGGTGCGCTTTGAATGTGCAGTGAGAATATTTCTTTGTGGACAGAGCATTATGTGCAGCCTGTGCGTTTACGTCTCAACATGCTGACTCTGATAAAGTTTGAGTTCCTGGTTAGCTGGTTATGTGGAGGAGCTTTCGCACTCGACTTGTGACTACCGCAGCACGCTGGTTTATTTTTATTTGATTTCATTTTCTGCAGCGACACAAAAGCTTTTGGGACAGACTAAGAGTCTGACTCTTAGGCAGGTAGAGTTTCTGGTGACTGTGGAGACATCAGTACAACTCGTCCCAAAGCTCAAGCAACCAAACCAGTTTCTGTGGCGCTTATTAAAAACTCAGACAAACTGAAAGAACCACTAAAGCAGCAGATGTAACATCTGTCCGTTTCGGAAAAGCTAAAAAAAAAAATAATAAAAAAAAATCCTTAAAGCGCACACCGGACCGCGCAGGGTAAAACACTCAGAGTTCAGTTGATCTGTTTGTATCAGACAGATCCAACTGACTGATGAATTAGTGCAGATTTTTCTGCAGATGGGAACCAGGAGGAAGTGCGTTCAGACCCCAGCAGGTGAAGTGATGCTAATTTAAGTGAAGTCGCTTAATTTAATTTATTAAAAGTTATTGGGGCCTCAGTGGTTTTTGTCACTACGGAGAAAAATGTAGATGCATTTATCTGCTTAATTTGTGATGTGATCTGGATTCACGGTGAATATTAACTAAACCGCATGAAATGCTGCTAAATAGCCGATGTTTATATTATTGTAATTTCACGGATAAAAATAGTACTTGACCGATTTTTTTTTTTTTTATGTTGCCGGTCAAGATAATGGATAACAAAAAAAGTCTAGCGCCACCTGCCGCCCTGACACCAACTCACACACATCTTCATTCACTGTCTTACTTGTAAATGGATTTTTCTTTTCTTGGACGTTTTGATGTTAGCTTGTTGATGTCTCAGTTTTATTCGCTGGGAAAATCAATAAGCAGCTTGAGGTGACTCTGCTGCTCTCTAGTGGCGAGAAGCCGCAATGTTGGCTGGTAACAATCGGAATGCATTATGGGAGATGTAGTTTGTAGTCAATTCGTGCTCAAAACCTATTTTAAGTCAATCATGGGCCTATAAAACGCTCCGGGGGCCACATAAAATGACATGGCGGGCCACATGTGGCCCGCGGGCCTTGAGTTTGACACATGTGCACTACATCCAACTGCAGAGACCCTCGGTCTGTTGGACTCAGAGGCTCCTGGACATGGAAGACGTGTTGGACCAGAACCAGGACTGTGAGACGGCAGAATAATAAAATCAAAGAACATCTACAGTTTGTTTCTGCGACTGGAGGACAGGATCTGCTGCTGAGAGCCAATTAATGTCGATTTCAACTCCTTCAAAATGAACGACAGGCAACCAGTGAGCTAAAGTATCATATGACTGGATTATTCCCACAAAGATGTAGTTTAAGTTCCAGCTCCTCAAACTCTCCATCACTCTGAACTATAAATGTTCACAGAGACTTAAAATGATCAACATTATGTATCAGTGCTGATGTATTAAATATTACTGTGAATATTTTGGTTTAACTCGTTGTGGGAACAGTGGCTGAACTTTCAGCCAGCTGACATCAGCCTGAAGTGGGCGGGGCCTTCAGGTCGACTGTCCCTGAAATCACAGCAAAATCAGAGAAAACAGATAAAAACAGGTTTTTATCTTAAACAAGTGGAAATANCGGCGCTGCTTCACTGCTGTTCTGTACGCCACCAGGACAGAAGAAGAAGAAAAACTTTGATGCTGAAACTCCTGGATCCACTGACAGCAGGGAGAAAACATCAGTTATACTCTGATAGCTTTCTGTTATAAACTGGAAACATTATAAAGATGTTCATTCAGAAGAATCTGATTTATGATCATTACAATAAATGAAAGCAGAATAAAATCAACTTCAGGTCCAGAAAAATGTCCATCTGAATGTTTAATGTATTCAACATATTGTATACATTATATACATTTATTACCAACTGATTCATCCACCAGTTGATTTCTGGGAGCTGATTTCATTAACTTGTGATCGGCCGATATTTACACATGAAGCCCATCTTATCCCCTGACCTTCATCAGCAAAGGTTTATAAATCAGCCTCTGTCCTCAGTGAGACGTTTGACTGACAGACCAACCAGGTCTGAACCTTTACAGTCAACAATATTCACCCACTGTGGAAACTCAGAGACTTTCTAGTTATATTTAGCAACAATTCAGACAAAAACAATTCATATCAGCTAAAATTAGGCGTTTTAAAGATCGGTAACCAGGGATCGGCCAGAAAACTGCAATCGGTGCAGCTCTACACACATTCATGAGATTCTCTGATTAAATTAATTTCTCTTAACTCCAACAGCTAAAAATGTAATTTATACCAGGTGAGTCTTTCTCCCCTGAGAATCTGGACCGGTACCGGTACTGGACTGATTCTGAGCCTTAATGATTTTAACAGAAGTTTCTCATAACTTAGAAAAATAATGTTTGTTTCATCCACAAAATGTTTCTGATCAGCAGCAAACAGCAAATCCCAACTACAGCACAGAGCAGCTCATCCATGTAGCCTGACGTAGAAACATTTAGCTACACGATGTCAGACATGCTCTATAGTTAAGTTTATAAAGTAATGATTGTAGAAACTGTTTATTGTTTTGGGTTCTGTCTTTTTTGCGTTTAATTGTCTTACATAAACATAAAGTTTTATTTTTCACATTAGCTGAGCCCAGACTGTTTCATCAGAAACTTTCTATTGAGTTTATTTTGGACATTAAACATAAAATTATCCTTTCATCATCGTTCAGCTGTTCCATCAGTTTCCATCAGTCTGAGTGTTTAGTGAAGTCATGTGACCTGAAGCTGGTAAACATGCTGACTCAGTAAACCTGTTTTATTTTCAGTTTATAGACTCAGCCATGGATTCATAACAGCAGAAAGAAACAGTTCTGGTGTCTGAAGCTGATTTTCACTTCAGATGAATCTGATGGAGAATTTATCACCAATCATTTCTTCCTCCTGTTTGATGGAATAAAGCAGGTCAGGAAATTATAAAACTAAATATTAACTCAGTGATTCACAGGAAAACTAAACATGTTCAGTTTCATCTGGTTCCACAAATCTGCCCTTCAGAACCAAACCGAACCTTTTATTCACATCAGTTTATAATTGAACCTCAACGATCTCTACATACTGCTACATTATCGCCCCCGTGTGGTCAAACTGAAACATTGCAGCACTTAGACTCATTTTGACTCAAATCTAAACTTTTTAAACTTTCAGCCATCATCTGCTTATCCTCACAGCTACAGATGCTGGTTCCCATCTCTGGCTGTCATGGGGTCAGAGGTCAAGTCCATCCAGGACAGGAAGGGGCCATGCCTTGGGCCCCATGGTAAAAAATTGAATTGGCCCCCCGACCTGCTGCTGTTATAATTTGTTATAACAAGTTTTTATCTTAAACAAGTGGAATTAGGACCAACTTTAAATCAATGTAGTTTAATCACTATATTAAACTTACTGGCGTCAGCCATGTTTATCTTTATGATTTAAGTTGTATAAGTGGACATTATAACCTTAAATGTTTATCTATTAGAATTTATATTCTAATAGAATATTAGAATAATATCTTATTAAATAAGGCATGAAAACCTCAGCAGTAAATGGGTTAACCACTGCTGAGGTTAGGATTGCAGGTGAAACCAGAACAGGGGTAAGTTAGAGACACTGAGCCGTTTGTGGTAAAGACGTTTCCCCCCATCAGGTCAGCCTGACCCGACCCGCTCCGTCTCCTGGAGGAAGAAGTCGAGTTGGACCAAATATGACCAGGAAGGACAGAGAAGAACAACACCGTCGTTATTCAGCACGTCTGAAATGGAGCAGATGTTCAGGTCAAGAGGTCCAAATGATTCTGGTTCACACACATCCAGTGTAAACGGAGCCAGAAGTCCAGTAACACCAGTAACACCAGTAAGCTTCCCAACACACACCAGTGGAGCTGAGACTATAAAAACTGATGTCAGAAGCAGAAGTGGAGAGATTTAGTGTTTCTGTAACGATGTAGATGTTCTGGTTCCATAGATGTGCATTAAATCTCTTCCTGTTTGGCTGTGAGCAGAAACAATCGAATCCTTTGTGTCATTTATTTATTTATGAGTTTAGCATCTTTAACTTCCTCCAAGCCTGATGGCCCTCCATGTGTGTCTTCCTCCTCTCTCAAATAAAAGCCTCTGGAGCCAATAAAACCTTTAAAAAAGAATCAAAAGATGCAGAACCAAGTTTCATCTCCAGTTATGAAAAATCTTAATCCCTGTAGATTCCATAAATAATCCATAAAAACTTAACAGTTTAAAATAAAATGAACTGTAATGATAAAGGAAGAACAGACTGAGACACTTTGAGCAGACATGTCAGAGCCTGATCACAGGTTCCAGCTCTGTGTTGTGGCTGCAGCAGGTTAAGATAATCTGTAATCTGATCAGATTACAGAAGCTTTTCTAGAAAAACAGAGTTCAGATGTTTCCTGCAGCTCTCAGACTCAGTGGTGTGAGAAGAACACAGTGAATATTTACTGAATTATAACAATCAGACGATCTTATTGATATGTTTCATATTTACATGAAAAGCAGACAGTCATGATGGCGTCAGGATGAGGATCTGATTCTGACCCCTTTGGCTTCCTGTAGTTTACAGTCTGAGGTCTGATGTTGCTCAGACCGATCAGCTGTGTGTCTGATGGACGATGAGGCGAAGTGGAGTCAGTCAGACGAGGATGATGAGGATGAGGATGAGGATGATGAGGGTCTTCAGTAGACCAGTCCGGTGGTCTGATATCAGACTCTGAGCCGATCAGCTGCTGCTGGACGTCCCTCCATCCAACACAACATCTGAGGCTTTATGACACAATGTGACACTTTGGGGCCTTTTATTGTCCAGCTGCTGCTCATTTGGTCTGGTCACCCAGTGGACATGTCCCACAATGCACTGGGAAAAACTCACTGAGTATTAATGCTGACTGACAGCAGGCTGGACTAAAATTATAGAAACATTACAAAATATCAGCAAATGTTCATTTACAGTCGTTAACTCCACATGGCAACAATATCTGACATATTTATATTTTTGTTCAGGGCATTAAAATTAAAAAAACTATTTAGGAACAATATAATCTAGAGAAAAGGTCAGATTTTAACATAATGCTGCTGTTTAAATAGAAATGATCCAGCTGAAGAAGATAATTAAAACGAATATTGTACATTAAAAAGCATCAACCTCATCAATGAAGCATCAGGACCAGGTTTCCTCTAGAGTCTCTGCTCAGCTGCAGGCCGACTCAGTGAAACTGAGACCTGCCTGGTTTCCGTCTGCAGAGCGTCGTCACACAGACTCACTGTGTAAACGGTGCAGCGCGTCGCCGGTTATGGAAATTATTCACATTCATCTGTTTCCACCAGACGGTTCAGGTTCAAACTGATCACCAGCAGTGAAGCTGTGAGATCTGCTGTCTCTCCTCCAAACCAAGTATTCAGTTCAGGTCCAGGCAGGTAAACAGGAATGTCCTTCAGATCAGATTCAGGTTCAGCTGAGATCAGACCTGATAAGTTTCATCTCGTTGGTATGAAGGAATTTATGACAGCTGCTGGTCAGAATCTCTCCATTTCAGTAACCAGGTCAGTATTATAACTGGAGTTTAACTTCCTGCTGATAAAGTTTCTTTAAGCTCAGAGACAGAGCTGAACTTAGATAATGAAAGGATTGAAGGACAGAGTCTGAGTGTTAACATCATTTACAGCTTCATGAACAGATTCTCTGAACTACAGAGGAACCGTTTAGATGTCAGATATAAACACTGAAGATTCACATAAACAGGTGGAGAAATGAGAGATTTATAAATGTATATTTGACACGTTAACCAAGTTTTAGCTTGTGGAAGAAAACATATCATAGGAAAATCCCTCAGTGACTCTGGATGTTTGTTAGATCTCATCTTTCATCCTGCACAGCACCACAGATGGTCGACGTTAAACTGCCTTGCATCAAAACCGTGTTTGTTCTCATCCTCTTCAGCAGCTCGGCTCATGCAGTATAATAGCAACGTGTTTCCAAACATGTTGTCTGCAATGTTCTTGTCAAGGTTGTGATCTTCATACCAGAGGAAACAGAGATAATCTCTATCATCCAGCAGCTGTGACATCAACCAGTTCTCTTCTAAACCTCAGCAGATCTCCTGTCAGAGCTGTTCATCGTTTAAATCCTCCTTCATGTGCAGCATTGAATCAACACCATCCTGATCTGTCCTGGTTACTTACAGACACCAAATGTTGGAAGACACCAGAGATCTTTACCTTCTTCCAGCTCAGCTTTTATCAAGCATTTCCTGGATGAACTCCTTGTTCTTCCATTTCTGGCTTTTCTCCAGTTTTCCTGAGTGAGTCAAGGCGAATCGTTGGATGTTTCTGGTTACCTGGAAGAATCTCAGAGTGAAATGGAAAAGGGGCCACCCAGCTGTGATCCTCATTTTGGTAGACTTCTCTATCCAGAAGTCAGACGATCCTGATTAGTTTTCATCCTTGGATCGTTCTGAATGTTCCTGATTCTCTGAGTACACAGGATGGATAATGTCTCCATGACAACGGGACGGATCTGATGCTGTCCATAGTTCTCCTTGATCTGGACACTGTTTGGACTGAGAAAGGATGTGTGTCCACTCTGACCTTTGTAGATCCATGAAAACTTCCCACTACAACCCAACCCAAGTCGAGTCGCTGTGCATGTGGAGCATCATGAGCTCCTTTATTTGCTCTCTCACCTCATGCAGGTCGTTTCCTCCCAGCAGCAGCAGGATGGGAGCCTCTGGGTCCACAGCTGGAACCTGATGGTGATTAACTGTAGATCAGTGATGCTGTGCTGCTTCAGGTGAAGGTGTTTCCAGTCCGGCACCAAGTCACAGTGGGATCTGGTCTTTCCATCCATAGACTTGAGAACAAAGTTATCAGCTCTTCTGCTGGACGTCTCTGTGGCTCCAGAGCAGGTTTTAATGGAGCTGTGCTGAATTTAACTCCTAACAAGTAAAAACTCTGACTTTGTTACTCGGCTCATTAAGAGCAGCAAATATTTTAACAGCTTTGTCCCACTAAGGGACAAACAAGGGTGTTAGAAAATGGATGGATGGAAAATAAATAAAGGACTAAAGAAAACAAAACTTATGCTTCCTCTTCTTGTCGGCCACATTGACTTAAGGACATGGCCAGCAGGTGACATGAATGCTGATGTGGCTGATCTGAGCTTCTGGAAACAGGAAGCAGATCATCACCGTCACAGTCTCTTCCTGGTTCTCTGGTAGCATCACCTGATGCTCCTCAGCTGTGGTCTCTGTTCACAGATCAGGTTCTCGGCTCTTCATCAGCCCACATGGACCATGATGATGGCAAAGTGCAGAAAGAACATAAAGATGGACAGACAGAAAATGAACCAACAAGCAAACAGAACTATCCACAAATAAAATGAACAACAGACACATTAAGGACAGAAAGACGACAGATATGACAGACGTGGCTCTTAAAACTGCCTTTGTTGCTGTTTTAAAGGAGCAGAAATAAATTTGGGAAATAATGTGACCAAAGAAAAACCTGTTGAGATGAAAACATAAGAACTGTTCAGATTTCAGAGGCTCTTTATTTCTCTTCATCTGTCTTCCAACAGCAACAAATAACAGACAGGAGGAAAGAACTTCTCCTGTACTGAGCAAGTTGGTTTGTAATTCAAGTAAATTAAGCTGCAGTCAGTGAATTCACTCATGAACAAAACTTTAAGGATCATCACAGCCTGGTGGCTCTGATGTTATAGCAACCCTCCAATTTTACAAAGTGGCAACAAGTATGACTATAAACACTAATATGTGAATCTATCACGGCTAATTAAACGTATTACAGGTCCAGTTTAACCCGATTGCCTCCAAGAGGCTAATTTAGCTTCCAGTGCATTTTTTCAGGAAAAAGAAATGTTACAAACGTGTCTGAATGTCTTCAACCATTCGCAGCACAACCCTAAAACTACCATCAGCAACTTTATAACGTAACACTGTAGAGTTATGTTTTGGTCTTAGAGTATAAAAACATTTTGACACATGCAGGTTTCTACTCACCGGGTGTAAAAGTGTCGCAAAATGACATCAGCTTCTTCTTCTTCCTAGAATTTTGTGGGATCTTTTCTTATGTTTATTATTTGAATCAAAAACATTGAAACGTTTACGGAACCGTTTGTCATGCAGTCAAAACAGAAAATCCATCCTCACTCTTCTTAAATTTATTTGGAGTAAATCATTGATATCGTACTCAAAAATAGTAGGTAAATTATAAATAAAGCTTTTAAAAAAAGATTTTAAAAATGTATCAGCGATATGAATGGTAAAAACCAACCAGGCTGCTAGGAGGGACAGCCTGAAGCCATTCAATGGGATGATGACATCGGAACGAAGCAGGAGGAGGATTGGATCCATCAATGGAGACCCAGTGAAACCAGTCAAAGCTCAGTGGGATCCGCCGCCTCCTCCATCTTGTTTTTGGTTTCTGTCTCCTCCATCTTGTTTTTGGTTTCTGCCTCCTCCATCTTGTTTTTGGGCCCCCGGCAGTGGAAGCGGTCGGCCCTGAGGCCCTTCAGGTTCTGGTTGTCATCTTGTTGATGTGAATCTGCATCATCATGTGACATCAGGATCAGATTCTCTGGATTTTCAGGCTGCAGAGAAACTTTTCCCATTTATTCCCATTGATTTCANATATTAAGTTAAACTTACCTGCATCAGCAATGTTTATCTTTATGATTTAAGTTTTATAAGTGGACATTATAATCTTATATGTTTATCTATTAAATCTCTATTCTATTAGAATATTAGAATAATATGTTATTAAATAATGCATGAAAACCTCAGCAGTAAACAGGTTCATTTAGATTAAACTTAAAAGCAGAGATACTATTTATAGAGCTGTTAGTGATGAAGACTTTTCACCCGGTTCCGGTCAGCCTGACCCGATCCGCTCCGTCTCCTGGAGTAAGAAGTTGGACCAAATATGACAGAGAAGAACAACACCATCGTTATTCAGTCTGAAATGGAGCAGATGTTCAGGTCAAGAGGTCCAAATGATTCTGGTTTCCACACATCCAGTCCAAACGGAGCCAGAACTGATATCAGATGAAGACCAGTAACACCAGTAAACTTCCCGACACACCAGTAGAGCTAGACTATAAAAACTGATGTCAGAAGCAGAAGCGGAGAAATTTTGGGTTTCTGAAGATGTTCTGGTTCCACAGACGGGCAGAAAATCACTTCCTGTTTTAGATTCCTGTTCCTGCTGTGAGCAGAAAGAATTGAGTCCTTTGTGTCATTTATTTATTTATTTATTTATTTATTTATGAGTTTATGAGTTTAGCATCTTTAACTTCCTCCATCTAAGCCTGATGACCCTCCATGTGTGTTTTCCTCCTCTCTCAAATAAAAGCCTCTAGAGCCAATAAAACCTTAAAAAGGATCAAAAGATCCAGAAGTTTAATCTCAGGTATAAAAATCTTAATCCCTGCAGATTCCATGAAGAATCCATAAAAACCTGAAATGAACTGATAAAGGATCCACTGACTGAAGAACCGACTCAGTTCCTCTGAGCAGAGATGCCAGAACCTGATAGCCGCCGGTTCCAGCTCTGTGTTGTGGCTGCAGCAGGTTGAGATAATCTGTAATCTGATCAGATTACAGAAACTTTTCTAGAAAAACACAGAAGATCAAATGGTTTCCTGCTGCTCTCAGACGACAACGGGAATATTTACTGAGTTATAACAATCAGTTGATCTCAGTGATATGTTTCATTTGAAAACCAGACATAGAAATATGAAAGCAGACATAGAAAAATATCCACTGTGAGAAAATGTTTCTTCACATTAATATAAAAATAAACTGAACAAAATATAAACTCTCCATGTCAGATATAAAAGTTTTATGAACATTTGTGTTAACAATAGAAACTCAAAGTAAATTTCCAGTAATTCCTGATCTTCATTGATTCATTGATGACGTCGTGGTTCAGCTGTCTAACAGCCATGATGGGTCAGGATGAGGATCTGATTCTGACCCTGTTGGCTTCCCGTAGCTTT